ACAACAGGGTGCGTTCCGGTGAGCGGCGAGGACTAGCGGCCCTGGCTGCCGGGCAGGGGCTCAAGGGCCCCGGGAGGGAGGGCCTGAGCCCAGGCGCCGCCTGTCTGCCGCCGTGATCTGGGAGTGCCTGACCATGCCGGCCGCACCGAGCTCCCGTGGGTTCTCGTGGTTGGGCTCTGTCCTGGCACATTGGGCATGGCCTCTGACTCCCAGAGCCGGCCCCTGAAGCTAAGGGACAGCGGATGGTTCTGGTGGGTTCTGCTGACCAGCCTCCCACCCCGCCGCCCTGCCGTTCTGAGCTCTGTGCAGAGCCCGAGTGGGGACCGGTGGGCAGCCCGGAGGTTTGGAGCCCCCCACTCCACTCGGCATGGTGCCCTTCCCATCCACACCGCAGGACGATGCTGGGTCGTCTGCTCTCTGGCTCCTGCCTCTGCAGGACCAGCTGGCCAGGGGACGGCATGCCCCGTGGTTCTGGCACACGTGCTGGGGGAGGCTGGAGTCTGCTGGGGCTGCTGCCTCAGAACACGCAGCCTTCTCATGCCTCAATTTCTACACCTGCCAAGGGGCCCGACGGGCAGAACCACTTGCGAGAGCCACAGGGTAGAGACAGTGCGGGGCAGCCGACGACGGCTGAGGGAGCTGCGGCCCACCGCAGGACAGGGAGGGAGGCCTGGCACCGACTGAGGAACCTCGGACATGCAGCACTCAGGGGATGGGCGCGAGAGGCCGCGTGGTGTGTGACCCCCACGGGCAGACGGGCTCTCCCGCACTGACAGAGATGCTCGGGAGCCAGAGGTGCTGCTGGGAAATCGGGGACCGCCACCCCAAGGTGGCACTCAGGTCTCGAGGGCACCGTTGCTGGGGCCCCTAAGGCTGCGGCAGGGATTCCTTGGAGGAAGGGCCCTGCTCTTCATGGCCACAAGGGACACTGCCCATGAAGCGCCCTTGGCCCTGCAGTGCCGCCCTCCTGCCACCTGCCGCGCCCACGCCCCGTGCTCTGGCAGCCCGGTCAGAAATGAAGGTGCTCAGGAGGGAGGCGAGGGGCTCCCGGGACCTGGGACCACGGCCACGGCCACGGCCACGGGGCACCTCGTCTGCCCGGCTCAGGCAGGAGGTCGGGGCAGGGCCATCTGGGAAGTGGTTTCCCAGGTGACAACACTAATGTCACCAAAACTTCTCAGTCACGAGATTGACGCACACAAAAGTGCTCAAACCTGAGGAGTGCGGCGTGACAGCACGACAGGCGGCCCTCGTGCCGGCCCCTGGCTCCCTTTGCCCTCGCCTCCACAGGGCTCCTGGGCACAGACAGTCTGGGGTCCCTGGGCATCATGTTGGGAGCGCGCCACGTGTCCGGAGCTCACTGCCCGCGTGAGGGGAGCGTGGCCTGCCCTGCTCTCGGCACCAGGCACAGATGCACAGGGACAGGGTTGCAGTTTTCCCGCGGTGGCTGCCTGGCCTCTGACAAGCCCTATGTGCTGACCCGGGCTCCTGGTGTTTGTGACCGCCCGTCCTCTGGGAGCCGGGCTGGGTATCCTGTGGCAGGCCAGCTGGCGTGGCCCGTGCTGCTGGGCCTCCCTGCGCGAGCGGGCGTGCGGTGCGTCTGGGCGCCATGTGTGTGACAAGGGCCGGCATCGCAGCCTGCCCAGCGCACGTGCTCCGTCTGCTAATGAGGCTGTGACAGAGGCGTTCTGGCTTCAGTGTGGCCCGACTCTGAAACCCGACTGTCTGTTTTGTTTGTTTAGGAACATTTGGGGTCCTACATCAGAAGGACTTATGTCATGGGGTCCGCAGGGCTGGGCCCTTTCCGGGCTGTCAGAGCGCTGACTGTCCCTGTGCCCCAGAGAGGGAGGTCCCCGCCCCTGCCCTGGCCTGCCCCTCCCTGCGCTCCCTCCCCACAGCACGGGCCCTCTGCACTGCTCACGCTCAGCCGGAACCTCGGAGGCTGTCCCTGTCCGGCCCATGTCTGGGCCCATGGAGGGCGCCCGAGCAGCCACGACACCAGGGACAGGCCTGGTAGAGAATGTGTCACCACCTCCGCTCTGAGTTCGAGTTCTCGCAGTCCCAGGAAACAAAGGGCCTGGGTTCTCCCAGACGCAGGAGAGCCCGAGGTACAAGAACACCCCAGAGGCCAGCTGCTGTGGCATGTCTGTGGGGCCCAGGCAGCATCTGTCCTCTGTCCCGAGAGCACCAGGGGAGTGTTCCAGACATCCCCGAGTGAAGGGGCCCACAGCACCCGGGGTGCTGCAGGTTCAATCAGGCGCCCACACAGCTCGGGCTCCTGAGGCCACACACGGCCATTCGGTGGGCAGCACAGGGTCTCCAGGCGTCCCAGGCCCAGGCAGTGGCACGGGTGGTGGCCGCCTGCCCAACAGACACACCCCTGCTGACCCTCCTGGACCTGCCACTCAAGCAATCGGCCCAGCCCTGGCCCAGCCCCCACCTGCTGCCCTGTCAGCTAGCCCAGGCCCAGCGTCTGCATGGTGTGCTCCACCGAGGGCAGGGGTCTGCCTGTGGGGTGTGCCTGCCCAGTGCCCACCTGTCTCAGGCTAAGAGGGGTCTCCCCTTCACTGGAGCCCTCCTCCAGCGCCAGCCCAGCCCAGCCGCCCACTGCCCTTCACCCTGAGTGCAGGTAACAGTCGACACAGATAAAACATTTTCTGTAAATACTGTATTTCCATATTTTAGAGTCATAAAGAAGCATTTGGTAATAAAAATAATAGAGAACTATTTTCTTCCATCTGCTCTGCTCCAGACAGGCCCCCACGCCTGTCCCCACGTGTGCCCAGCTCAGGGGTGCGGAGCCAGTACCGGTCCCTCTATTTACAAATATGTCACAGGGCAAAGACAGGTCTCTGGGGCAGCTCGGGGGAGCTGCCTGCTCAGTGCATCTGCAGGGGCTGAGCTGGTGCGGGGCTGGCTGCTGGCTCCCTGCCACCCTGCTGGCTCTGCAGGGATGGTGACACTGCTGGCCTAAGGCGCAGCGGGCCCCAGTGGAGGGCAGGAGTGGGAGGTGATGTCGCCATGCTTGTACGTGGCCTCGTCGAGGTCCAGAGCGCGCCCGTTGACCTCCAGCGTCATGCAGCCGCGGTAGAACGCTGTTACTGGTGCCGCGGTCACCGGCACGTCTGCCGGCCAGAAGAGAGGCGGCTCAGCGG